CAGGCGCTTATGCCGCTGAGCTAAATCCCCAGCCCCTAAAAGACACTATTTAGAAAAATAAAAAGCTGTGTATCCTGGCACATACTTGTAATCTTAGCATGCCAGGAGGCTGAGACAGGAGTGAATGCATGTTGAATTCCTGCCTGTAAGACTTAGTAAGTAACTTAGTAAGACTGTCTCAAAATTTAAAAAAGGAAAAAAAAAAAAAAATTTAAAAAAGGCTTGGGATATAGCTCAGTATAAAGGCCTTGGATTCAATTCCAGTGAAGAAAGATGGTAGTGGCAGGGTCTGACTGGGTGATGTCTTAGTGGTAGAATGCTTGCCTAGCATGTATGACATGCTAAGTACAATCTCTAATAGCACTACCACCACAAAAACAAAACAAAACAAATTACTCTGGAGAATAAGTTTAATGGAATAAAAGGTGGATTAGCTATGTATTCTTTTAAAAGGGTTAGGAGGAAGACTACTCTAGATATAGTAATATTTGTATCTATTAGAACCTTTGTTAAAAGAAGGGGCTGGAGATGTAGTGGGGCTGGCACAGCATGTGGTAGGCCCTGAGTTTAATCCCTAGTACCTGGCTTTGCCAAGGGAAAGAAAATTTAGGTATGCTAAATGTTTAGACATATCACTCAGTACCTCATCAATGGACAAACTGCTTCAAATGCAGTCAAAGTACGAAGATGATCAAAACATAATTCCTGACCTCAGCAACTCACAAGTCATTCATTAGCCATGCCCATAAATACTAGGCAATATACAATGTATGAAAGATAAAAATTTTAGATTAAAAAAAAATTACTTCTGGAATTAAGAAAGCATTCATGACGGGAAGACCTAAATAGGTCTCAAAAGACCCTGTCTCAATCTATAAAACACAAAAATACGCTAAAGGCAGCACCACAACACCATGGTCAAGCAAAGTGGTACATACCTGTAATTTCAGCACTATGAGGCTGAGGTAGTAGGAGCCTGCCTGGACTATAAAGCAAAACCCTATCTCAAAAAAATAAACAACCCCCCCCCCCCCGCGCTATGAAGCATTACACATTGAAAATGAAGATATTTGAAGCTTAGGGAAAATAAGCAATCTGCCTATGACCATATGACTACTAAGTAACAGAACTGGAATTAAAGTTTTAAAATAACTAGATATGGGAAAGCACGGAAGAGAGAACAATAGAAAACATTAAAACTAGACTGTTCGGTATCTTATTTTCTTCTGAGACAAGGTCTTGCTACATAGTTCGGGCTGCCTTGAACTCACTATGTAGCTCAGGCTAGTCTCAAACTCACTGCAATCTTCCTGCCTCAGGCTCCCAACTGTCGGGACTACAGGTATGTGTCACACCTGATGGATATTATTTTGAAAACCTGGAATTAGATGTGAAGAAAGATTCAAAAATAGGATTCATTAGGGATTATAAACTGACCACTTGTAAAGGGGATAAAGAGCAAAACCTAAGAAATGTCAAAAAGCCAGTATGACAAAGGCAAATACGAACAAGAAAGTTGGAGTGGCACCTCCATGGGAGGAATGTCAACTTAGAGAAGGCAATAACATACTCCAGAGAAGATACCAGTGGAAAGCCAAAACCCTAGGAAGACTTCAGGCAGTGGGTCTAGAGATTCCTCTGCACAGATATGACACACAAAGATGTGACAGCATCTATCCTACACAGAAAAAGGACAGGAAAGAACAGAGGGCTATGAACAAAAAATTAGAAACGTCACTGTTCAGAAGGGTAGAGAAGAACCACAAAAGAGAGTTACAGATCTATAGTTACACATACAATCTAGAACAAAAATACACCATTCAACTATTTTGTCAAGTACTAACAAATTCTTAAATGCTTTGAACTGAGGTAAATGACAAATTAGCAGAATATGGTGCTGTACACCTGTGATCCCTACACTGAGAAGATGAATTAGGATTATAGGTTCCAACCAAGTCCAGGCAATTTATCAAGATCCTGTCTCAAAATAAAAACAAAATTTTAAAAATGAGAGAGAGAAAAAAAAATAGGTTAAAAAAAAAAGACACAAAACTGCAATTTTAAAAATGAAAACTGCGGCTTTAGGACACAAGTCCAGTTTTAAAAACGTTTTTCCTTTCTCTTCCTCTGGAACACAGTAAGGCGAGGCAATACCCTTTCACCTGTACAATGGGCTTTTTTTTTTGGAGACAGGTTACTATATAGTTCAGGCTTGCCTCAAACTCCCAGCGACCTTCCTCCCTCAGCCATTGAGTACTGGCATTACAGGTGTCATCAGGCCCAGCAAAACGAGTTTTCTCTTATAAAGACTACTATCTGCCTATGGATCGGCCACTCTCTCCCATTCCTCAAACCATATGGTCAAAATGCAGATTTCCACTACCAAAAACATTCATAGTGCAAACTGTTGTATACCTCTTTCTTGGACCTCCATTAAGTGTGGACTTCTTACATATTTGCCTAGTAAATCCCTCTTGTGCCTCTTAAAAATAAAGAATTGGTGATTGGGTATGTAGCTCAACCCAAAGGCTCTGGATTCAGTCCCAGGTACTCAGAGGTGGGGGCAGAAGATGACTCCTTTTATCTTGAACTCTCTAAGACAATTTTTTTTTGGGGGGTACAGGAATGGAACTCATGACCTCAGCTTATGCAGCTGGGCTAAATCCCCAGCCCCTCACTAAGAATTTCTGATTGGTGATCAGCTGAATGTGAAAGTTCTTGATCATGGTGAAGAAACTAATTCTAAGCTTGTGGGTATCTGTTACAGTTTTGTGTAACATCCTTAGGATTTATGCCACTATGAAGTCAGAAGACCCATTTCAAATTTCTATTGTTGAACTGAATCACAGTCTAATAAGTACATTCCGTAAATATCTTAACTCTGGGTTCTGAAGGTATTTAGCTATTTAGTACACAACATTCTTTTTTTTTTTTTAAACTTAAAATGTAGATTTTGAATGTTATTCTGATTTTGTTTTGAGACAGGGTCTCACTTTGTACCCCAGGCTGGCCTAGAACTCAGCAATGATCCTCCTGCCTCAGCCTCTGGGATAACAGGGATGCGTCACCCCACCCAGCTTGCTTTAATTATTTTTTGTGCACACCAGTGGCAATTTGTATACGCTGATATATGAAACCTAATTGTGTCTCAAGGAATTTATGCTCAATAAGATGATATGCTATCACTTCCATTACAGTTAAGTTATGTGTCAGGAATATATGTGCTCACTATACCCAACTTCCCTATAAGAAAACAGTTAACACCTTTAGGTCTCAACTCAGTATTGGGGACAGAACCTTGGGGTTTGCTAGACAAACACTCTACCACTGAGCCACATTCTCTACCCTTTAGATCCTGAAACAAGGTCTAAGTTTTCCAAGTTGGCCAACTTGGTAGCCTCGGCCTTCCAAGTAGCTAGGATTACAGGCATGTGCTAGGTACTCAGGCAGCTTTTTGTTTGGAGCCATTGGTACCCAAGGCCTCATCACTATATCTCCAGCCCCTTTCAGGTGTTTTATAAGTACCCTAATTATCTGTATAATTACACTCATCACACATAATTAGAATTACTAGTGCATTTCTGTCTCTTCAAATAGACAATGTGCTCCAAAGTATGTCCCACATTTATCTTTGTATTCGCGCCAACATTGACCAACCAGCTGCTGCAAAGGGCTGTGAGAATTCAAACATGTTTTGTGGAATAAACTGAATTCAGAGTATTTTGAGAAGACAGACATATTTTATATTATTTGGGTAACTATAGTTACAATGTGGCTGTTCAACACCAATGTTAAGAGGGGAAAAAAAAAAAACCAACATCAACACCAACATAATCTCTCTTGCCAGGCAAATTACAAAAAAATTTTTACATTCTGCATTTCTTCTTTGGCCTAAGGAACAATATGTCACTAAAAGGCTTTGATTCGTGCCCTCACCGATGACCATGAAAGATGTACAGTGAAGAGATACAAAGTAACATTCAAGAAATTTGTGTCACCTGGTTACATCTGGAAGCCACTGTGCTGTTAGGCTGGGCCACTCCAGAGCATGGGTCATCACCAAATCATAAAGAAAAGGCGTGTTCTTTTTCCATATCTTGTACTCCTCGTTGATCACACGTTCTTCCACTGCGTCGTCAAAGGCTGCTAAAATGTTTTTAAATAAACCAAGTTAGCGCACAGAAATGCAACCGAGCACATCTCTCCAAAACCACTCGCATGGCTCCTTCGTTCTAATTGTGAGGGGAGACAGTTTATCTCATTCCCCCGAGGCGCAGCACCAACGCTGCTGTTCATCTTCGAGGGCCACAAGTCCGCTACCCACGGAGACGTCGGGGCCGGGCATTCGACGCGCGCTCCCGCACGCAAAGTCCACAGCACCGACGAGGGCCGCGCTCCGGGCCTGGGGACAGGGCGGCCCGGGCCGACCAGGGGGAGGCGAGGGGACGCACACCCGCCGGGGCCCAGCGCCGGCTCCGCTCAAAGGTGTCGCGCATCCGCTCCTGAGGAACTGGCGCGCCGTTGGCCTGCCTCGCCGGAGCTCCCTCCTTACGCTTGAGGAGTTGGGGCTGCGCTCAACTGCGCCGGGCCTGTCTCTGTACTAGGCCGTGTGCAGGCCGCGACGCAGTCCCAGCACCTCCCGCCCTCCTGGGACGCCCCCGGCACTCTCACCTTCCTTGTCAGCCATGGCGGCAGGAAAGCCGGGAGGACCCCGAGGCCGAACGACGCGGGAGGGGCAGGGAGGCTGCGGGCTCTCGCTCCGCGCGCGCGGCCTCTATTGTTTCCTACGGTCCCTGCGTGAGGGCGGGCTCGCGCACCTTCGCGCCAACATTGACCAACCAGAGATCACCGAGCGGCGGAATGGGCGGGACAATTGCATTCTCGGCCAATCCTAGTGCGTAGAGTTGCTTCCAGCGGGGGCCAGACGCGCGCTCCGTAACACATTTCCAGATTGCGCGCGCGCCCGGGCCGATGGGACTGTGTCCATAGCGGTCATGTGAGAGGTTTGGGCCGCACACTCCCGGGGGCAGCCATTTTCTTAAGGGCTATCAAGTGTTTGATAACGACCTTCTTCGAGTACAGTACTGAGATGAAAAAAATCTGAAATGTTTCTGAGTCTAGTTATTAACTTTGGGGACGAGGCGAAAAGAAAAAGCCTCGCGATTTAGACCCAGAAGGTGTCCTTCAAATTGTTTTCTTAATCCTTAGGAAAGAACAATTACAGACAAGCACTCTGTAGGGGATGAGCCCTTAACCTTTTAAACATAGACCTAAACAGCACAGTTTAGATGTAATTGATAGGGACAGACAAGCACTCAGAATCGAGTCCTAGTTCTTTAAGGACTTGATGAAAGGGCGGGGCTTATGGCGGTTGTAACGCTGGGCGGAAGTTCGCCAGAAGAAGGGCGGAAGTAGTGTGTTCGGTTCCGCAATCATGGCGCAGGAAGCAGAGGATGTTAGAGATTACAATTTAACTGAGGACCAAAAAGCAATCAAGGCCAAGTATCCTCCAGTCATTCGGAAGTACGAATGTGAGTACATGGATCACTTTTTTCTTCAGATATGGACATGCCCGGCTGCTTACCTGCTACTTTCAATCTGGCCATCTACTTTGCCCCACAGGTGTTTCAGGCATAATCTGGTTGTGCCCTGTGTGCGCCAAGTGTTGTGGAACTTTGTTCTTGTGCCAGGATGTGCTAAGGAAAAAAGCATCTAGCTTGAGAGTTAGGAGGCGTGGCCCTCTACTTTTGCAGTCTCTTCAACTTTTTCCTAGTTTGCCTAATCATATTTTTTCTTTGTGAATTTAATTAGCGCACTAATTGTAAAGATCCCTGTATTTTATTTTTCTTCTTTTTTTCCCGGCACTAGGGATCGCACCCAGAGTCTTCACGTTGAACTACATCCCTCAACCACTGTTTCAGTTTTTTATTTTAATTTTAATTTAATTTAATCTTTTTGAGGCAGGGTCTCACTATGCAGTTCAGGCTGGCCTTGAGCTCACTTTGTAGCCTAGGCTGGTCTCGAACTCACAATGGTCCTCCTGCCTCAGCCTTCCCAGTGCTGGGATTACAGGAGTGAGCCACCACGCCCGGTTTCAGTTTTTTATTTTAAGATAGTTTCCCAAAGGCCCTAAATTACCCAGGCTGAGTGATGTGGTTGCCTCAGCTTTCCATAGGATTACAGGTGTTTGTCACCATGATCTGCTGAGAGTTTTATTTGAAGAATTCTCGAGGTTGTCAGGTGTATCTCTCAACAGTGGGATAGATTGTGACCAGGTTAGGGGAATGGGAAAACTGAGAAAGGGAATTTTGTTGTTCTTATTCATTTTTCCGTCTCCCTCTTGCTCCGCTTTCCTTCCCTTTTTTGGTGTTGGTGATTGAACCCAGGGTTACTCTTCTATTGAGCTACAGAGCTACACTGCCTTGCTGGCCTTGAATTTGCCATTCTCCTCTCATTTTAACCCTCCTGAGTATTTCGAATTACAAGTGTGTGTAGCTTCACGACAGTAATAAAGGGATTTTTAACTTTATGTAATACCTCTATTTTTCATTATTAAAAAACAGTTGGTTTTGCCATTTTTTAGCATAGTGATTAGGCCAGCTACGTTCATTACCTGTCCTCCTATCTCAGTTCCATTATCAGAGGATAAGTAATAATGACTGTAGACTGGAGGTATCCCTCAGAAGGAAAGCACTTGTCACGGGGCTAGGTTCAATCCTCAGCACTGAAGAATTAACAAAGAAAAGATAGAGAACTGTATTTTCTTTTGTGTGTGTATGTGTGTTACTGAAGATTGAGCCCAGGGCCTTTGCACTGAGCTACATTAGCAGCTGTTTTTTACTTTTTGAGGCAGGGTTTTGCTGAGTTGCCCAGGCTGGGCCTGAATTTTTGGTCATTGTGGTTCAGCTTCCCAGAGTGGTGGAATTACAGTTGTATGCCATCAAGTCTGGCTCACAAAGGGCTGGCACTGCAGCTCAATGGTAGTGACACACAAAGGGAGAGGAAAGAATGGGGGAAAAAAGCCAAACATTGCCACTTTTCTAAATTTTGGGCAATGTAAGTCTTTTTCAGGAATTATAGTTGATGTTAGCTAGGAACAGTGGCACACATCTGTAATTCTGAGATGCTGAGGCACAAGTTTTGCCTGGGCAATTAGCAAGATATTCTGTCAAAAATATAATAAAGGCTGGGTGTTGGAGGTGCGTGCCTATAATCCCAGCACTCTGGAGGCTGAAGCAGGAGGATTGTTGCGAGTTGAGACCACCCTGGATTACAACGTGAGCTCAAGACCAGCTTGAACTGCATAGCAAGACCCTGTCTCAAAAGGCAAAAAATAAAATGAAATATAAAAAGAACTGGGTGTGGTGGTGCATGCTTGTAATCCTAGGATTTGGGAGGCCAAGGCAGGAGGATTGCCATGAGTTCAAGGCCAGCCTGTACTATATAATCATACGTTGTCTCAAAACACAAAAAATTTGAAAAAAAAACAAAAGAGACAGGCTGGGGATTTAGCTCAGCGGCATAAGTGCCTGCCTTGCAAGTGGTAGTCATGAGTTGATCTCTGGCACCAAACAAACAAATAAACAAACTAGATACTCTCCAGTCAGTCTATAGAACACTTCTTTCTTTTTTCTTCTTTCCTCCCCGTCCTCCTCCACCTCCTCGTCCATACCATCATAGAACTTGCCAGGCAGGTGTGTATACCTCTGAGCTAAATCCCTGGCTATAGGGCACTTCTGTTTCCTCTTGCCCCTTTCCAGTTAACTCCTGGAAAGGAGCAGGAGGAAACTATAGTTTAAAAACTATAGCAGGAAATGGAAACATACAAATGCAGTCACACATGTAGGTTCCTTTATTTCTGGCTTCATCTGTGTTACAGGTAATACAGCTGGACACTGGTTAAATCAGGTCAGATTTTTTTTTTTTTTTCAATAACTACTGTCAGTAAGAGTTGAGCTCTATTCCAGTTTATATAGTGATAATTGGGTATTTTACAAGGAGAATGAGGCAGGGGCAAGGATGAGGGCTCGGAGGAGTCAGAGAAGTGACAAAGTCTGAAAAGTTGTCAGTGTAAATGCAACTAGGCCAGTTAGGTCTGCCAGCTCCAGTTATGGAAGATAACATTCTGTCTTCTCACAAAAACTGGGAGCTGGAGCTGTTGCTTCCAGATGATTACATTTCAAGGGAATGTCCCTCAGGTCCTTGAGAAAGATACTTCTGAGTTGTAAGAGATATACATTGTATTCAGAATTGTTAGCCCTTTTAAGAACTTGCTTATCTAAGTAAGGGAGGTCAGATATTGAACATCTAGAGCAATGAATTCTGCTTCTGTTGAGGTCTCATGAATTCTGCTTCTGTTGAGGCCTCACTATCTGCATGCCTGGGCCATCCTAGGGATGCAGCCTTACGCTGTCAGAACCATATTAGTTTGGTGAAGTGCTGGAGTTTAGATGAAATTTCATACTAAGAGTTCTGCACTTCTTACTCAGCATGATGATTTGAGGTTCCTGTTAATGCATGTAGAGTAGTTCATGGTTTTTTTTTTTTTATTGCTGAGGAATCTCCCACTGTATACTTATACTGGTTTATCTCTTGTTGATGTGATAGATACTGGGTTTGGTTTGCTTTTTTGTTGTTGTTGTCTTCAAGGTAGAGTTTCACTATGAAGTTCAGGCTGGTCTGAACTACATGGCGAGACCCTGTCTCAAAGAAAAACACCTGTCATTTTCTTAAGTTTATCATCTTTGCTGATCATTGAGGCTCTTAGTGCCTGAAAGTCCTCAATAATATTTCTGAGTGATAAGTTTTCATTTTGAGTGCCACCAGACAATGTGCTGTGGTGCCAAATGTACTAACACAGGAGTCAAGAAAACCTTTATTTCAGTTTCCAGCTTTACCTATAAACAACAATGTAGTCTGGGAAAAAACCACACTCTCTATATCTCAAGTTCCTTTTTGTAATTAAGAACTACATTAAATCTCTAAGAATCACTTCTGACTCTAATATTCCTGTGACGCTAAATGGAAAGAACTGATGGGAGTCACCATAAAAGTGAAAAATAGGCTCTGAAAGTGTTGAAGTAACAGATCCAGTGGAGCATAGTATAGTAGATATTGTGAGAATAAGAAAATGCTAAATATTTATTGTGGAGTTTATTTTCTAAAACTATTTTGTGTTCCTGTAGTCTCAGCACTGTAGGAGGCTGAGGCAGGAGAATTGAGTTTGAGTGCAGCCTGGGTAACTAACTCTGTGACTTAGCAAGATCTTAGCTCAGAATAAAAAATTAAAACAAGAGCTAGGGATGTATCTTTGTGTTAAGCCCCTGGACTTAATCACTAGTACGTTAAAAAATAAATAAAAAATAATAGCGTCCTCTGTGTTCTCCAGACTGGCTTGAGTTCCTGGACTCAAGTGATCTTCTCAGAGCAGCCTAATCATAGTTAGGACTATAGGTATGTGTAGCAGTGCTCAGTTTAGATACTTTTTACAACACCTAAAAAGCCCAGGCCTGGCTACCTTCCAGAAATTGTCATTCATTTAAGTCTAAATCTTTGCAGTAAGAAAAAACAGTGATCATCCGAGTGTGGTGGCTCATGCCGGAAGTCCCCGCAAGCACAGGCTGAGGCAGCTAAACCATAAGTCCTAGGTCATCTAGGCTCCATAGCAAGTTTGAGGCTAGCATGAACTACATAGTGAGACCCTGTCTCAAAAAATTAAAAACCAGAATACCCCAAAACAACAAAAGAAGCCAAGCCCTAACAGCAGTTAACTTTGTGCAGTAAGTAGACAGCAAAAGGTCTGGGCTGCTTCATATTTTCTTGTTCTTTAAGGATGATGTTCTAAATAATGAACTTGAGTTACTTTCCTGTGCTTTTGAGAATCAAGTTTAATAATTTATGTTTTTCCCCTCTCTCCTTCAGATTTGGATCACACAGCAGATGTCCAGTGAGTATAGCTGGACTTTATTCTTTTGAGGCTGTTGTTAAATAGGAAGGCTGAACATTTTAATCTGAGTGTCCCTAGTTTTAATTTTTGATTTTTCTACTTTCATTGCGATTCTTCTATTTTGAACGTGAAAATGATGATTTAAAACTTTTTAGTTACCAGCCAAGCCTGGTGGTACATGCCGGAATTTCCAGTACTCTGGGAGACTGAGGCAGGAGGATCAAAAGTTGGAGGCTAGCCCGGGTAGTCTAGCAAGACTCTCTGTCTAATAAAATAATTGGAAGAGGGGTGGGAATGTAGCTCATTATGAAGGCCCTGAATTCAATCCTCACTACTACAAAAAGAAAAAAAAAGTCTTTAGTTTTGTGTTTATCAAGGTGATTTTATTTGGACTTTCTTGTTGTGTTTTCTCTGTTGCTGTGGATTATGCTACACAAAACAGGTGTATGTTTCTACAGGTTACACGCATGGGGGGAGACTCTGGAGGAGGCGTTTGAGCAGTGTGCCATGGCCATGTTTGCTTACATGACAGACACTGAGACTGTGGAGCCTCTCCAGACGGTAGAGGTAGAAGCCCAAGGTAACCAATTCATTCACAAGGAAAAAGTCATTATATAGATGTTCAGTGTTTTGCATCTTGAGTGTATTTCTACAGTAAGAACAAAATTGATTATGAACTTATTTTTCCTTTTTTCAACTAGCCTAAGAAATTAATTGCATTTTAAAATTGAAACATAGTTTTAGAAACCAGGGTTATTAAGCATTGTACTGTTGTGGCCCTTTTTAATCCTGTGTAGGAGATGACTTGCAGTCTCTTCTGTTTCACTTTTTGGATGAATGGCTTTATAAGTTCAGTGCTGATGAATTCTTCATACCCCGGGTAAGCAACAGTTTTTCTTTTTCACTGAGCAAATGGGTTCTTCATTCTTTTTTTTTTTTTTTTTTGTCTTTTTCCTTTTTATCGGTACTGGGGATCGAATTCACAACTGCCTGCTTGCAAGGCAGGCGCTTATGCCACTGAGCTAAATCCCCAGCCCCCTTCATTCATATTTTAAAGTTGAGGGCAACCCATTTGGCATTCCTCCTGTCTTCAGGAGTTATTCCTATTCGCCAATAAATTTTTCTACTCCTAACCTTTATTGAAAAAAAAGTTGAACAAATGACTTAAAATAGAACATATAATGGCAAATCATTCCATTCAGATTTGTAATATGATAATGATTTGCATAAATTGTAGGCACTTCTTGGTTAACCTGCGATTGCCTGTGTGTATGCATTTTGTACTTAGATCACTCACCTTATCACTGATTAGGATTATATGATAAGGATGTGAGGTGGGTGTGGTGGCACATGCCCCATATTGAAGTACTTGGGAGGCTGAACCAGGAGGATAACAGTCTTGAGTCCAGCCTGGGCTACATAGTGAAGTCCTGTCTCAAAAGAATTGGGGGTATCTGGAAATGCATCAATAGTCTTCATCCACTTTGTTTGTTTGTTTGTTTGTTTTTGTGTGTGTGGTATTGGGTGTCAAATCCTCAGGTGCTGTGCTACTGAGTTACATTTGAGCTCTTTATATTTTTCATTTTGAGACAGGGTACTGCAGAGTTGCTTAGGCAGAACTTCAACTTGTAATCCTCTTGTTCCAGCCTCTCCTGGGATTACAAACATCCATTTTACCATCCCCTGCTTCATCCACACTTTATGTCTTCCCATGTTAGAGCAATGTTTATTTCATCCTTCAGTTTCATTTGATGTTTGGTGAGTCTGTCATTTTGGCCTAAGTTCAACAATTCTACTTTCAGTTTTTCTTAATGCAAGAAAAGGAAAAGCCAGATAGAGATTGCTTGCTGCTGTCAATGTCCAGAGAGAACACCATACCTTCCCAACATTATTGCCTAACACATCTGGCCTTCCCTGCTTCCTTTATTCCTCTGGTCTTTTACCGGCTGTACTATGGAGACTGCTGAGTCACTAATCCAACAGAGCTCATGTGCTTGAAGTATCATATAAAAATAGGCTGAAGGAAAACAAATAATCTAAAGGCAGCTGGGCATGGTGCCGTACACTCGTAATCCCAGCACTCGGGAGGTGAGGCAGGAGGAGCACTGTGAGTATGAGGCCAGCCTGGACTCCATAGAGAATTCAAGATGCGGCTAGAATATACAGCAGGGTCCTGCCTCAAAAACAAATACCAAGGTGATGAGAGTAGTAAACAGCCTCTCTGAGTGTTGCTGTCCAGACAGTGGAAAATAGCAACATGAGGACGACAAGAAGGAGGGAAGTGGGGCCCCTGGATCTAAGAAGTACCTGAAGCATGAATCAAAGCCCACAGAGAGAGTGAAGAGAGAAATTTCAGTGAAAAAGAAGGACAGAACTCACTGCATGAGAGTAGCATTTCAGACCTGCAAACACATGGTGACTGCCTGTGTCCCCAGAAGCCTCCACAGAAAGATGCAGCACCGGAGTGGAGCAGTGGATGTGAAGGACTAGGCTAGCTGGTGACGAGTGCTAAGGGCTCAGTCCTCCCATACAGGAGAGAGCGCTTGCTGGGAGCCATCTTCAAGAGGGGCTGACTGAGCTCAGAATTCAGAGTGGCTGCTAGCTCCATCTAGTGGCTCCCAGATAGACCCGGCCCACATAAGTTGCACTGAGGGTTGCAGGCCGGATGAGTCTAGTCTCTGCTAGAAGGTGCAGGCTCCCTGAGATTATCCACTATCCTGCCAAAAAGCTACTTATTGCTGGCTTCTTGGGATAAATTAACACAGATGGAGATCCTGTCTCTGCATGTTGACTACCAGTGACAGCAGAGACAAACCTGGAAGCAGACTTTTTTCTCTCCTGCTTGTTGTTGTAGGTTTTTTCCCTATCATTGATCTTTTTATGTGGCTGAATGTGGTTTATAGCCTCTTTGGGTTGGTTCTTTTTTTTTTTTCTTCTATCTCTTTCCCTCCAGTTTTCTACACCAGTTTCCAAAGCTAGCGTGATTCCCTTGGTCCTCCAACCTTACTTCTAATGTCTTACTCTCCTTTTACCTTTATATTTTTTCCCTAGCTCCTTTTAAATTTTAACCCCTGAAGAGAAAATTGACATATTAAGGACTTATATATTGCATATAATTTTCTAGTCAGCTTTAAATTTTGTTATATAACCACAGATCTAGATCATATAGTTAAAGTTAGCAAATTAATGATTACCTCAACTTGTCGTTTTCTACACTGTGATTGATGTTACTGTTTTGTGTTGTTGTTTTGATACTAAAGATTGAACTCACGACATTGCACTTACCAGACAGGCGCTTACACCACTGAGCTAAATATCCAGCCCCTCTACTGTTATTGTTGATGGTATGACTTTAGCCAAAAGTGGCATAATTGTTCTAAAGAGCTATTTTTCCTAGTATTCCATGACTAAGATTGATTAAGGGTAATGGGAAATACTGTGGCACAGGGCCAAAGAAGCAAGGGCTGGGCCACCAGGCAGCAATTTCTCATCCCACGAAGTGAAGACATAGGATCTTACAGATGCAGAACCCAAAAAACAGTTACAATTGGAAGATACCTTCAAGTAGTCATTTCCTAAGGGTTCTAAATACTAGAAATAAAGCAATCCACCATAGTCAACTTACATGCATAACTCCAGAAATTAAACTAAAAAAAGAAAAGAAAATGAGAAGACACTTAAACAAGATGCAACCCCAGACATAACAGTTCACCAAAGGCAAACTGAGGGGGCAGTGAGGTAAGAATCTGAAAGCTACCCACCTGGCCTCTCTGAAGTTATAACAATGAAGTAATTGAATGAAGCTCTAGAAAAAATCAAGTAGAAAATAATTACTCATAACTGCAGAGATGGTAATCCACAATAAAAACCATGTTTAGTGACTCTAGAGCAGATGCACACACAAATAGAGGATCCTAAGAAAATTATGGAAGTCATAAACATTCAGTTTAGGAAAGAAATGGAATCCATCAGGCAGACTCAAGCTGACACCCAGGAGAATAGAAATCCATTGAAAGTATCCACAGCAGGTTAAACCAGTGCAAGGACAGGACCTCTGATACAGATGATAGGCTTGCAGTTAGCAATTATAAAAAGAAAGATTTTTTTTAAATAGCAAGGGACCATGGGAAATCAATCCAGCACCTGGTAGACAGTGTAGAGAAAAATAAGGTTGTTTGGTTTTTTTGTTTTTTTTTTTTATCGGTACCAGGGATCAAACTCACGACCGCACACTTTCTTTTTTTCTTTTTTTTTTGTCTTTTTCCTTTTTCATCGGTACAGGGGATCGAACTCACGACTGCCTGCTTGCAAGGCAGGTGCTTATGCCGCTGAGCTAAATCCCAAGCCCCGAATTTTTGTGTCAATTTCACCCATTGGCAATCTTTTTTTTTTTTTTTCTTTTTCCTTTTTATCGGTACCAGGGATTGAACTCATGACTGCCTGCTTTACAAGGCAGGCTCTTATGCTGCTGAGCTAAATCCCCAGCCCAACCGCACACTTTCAAGGCAGGCACTTATGCCGCTGAGCTAAATCCCCAGCCCCCGAGAAAAATAAGTTGATTGGGGTCAATGAAAAAGGAGATAGCACAAATTATACATACACGGGGGCTTGGGATTTAGCTCAGCGGCATAAGCGCCTGCCTTGCAAGCAGGCAGTTGTGAGTTCGATCCCCAGTACCGATAAAAAACGAAAAAGACAAAAAAAAAAAAAAATTATACACACACAAATAACTTCACAGACATCATTAGGAAAAAAATTTGACATACAGATAAGTGAAACATATAAACTCCAATTAGCCATGATAAAATAAAAATCTACACTCAGTCATATAATCAAGATTCCAAAAATTCAACCCAAAAATAAAATCTTAAAAGCTTTTAGAGAGAACAAACAATTCACCTATAAAGGAAAGCCCATCAGAATCACAGCTGATTTCTCAGCAGAAACCCTAAAGTCAAGGAAAGCTTGCAGAGAAGTATTTCATATTCTAAAGGAAAACAAACTTCAACCCAGATTTGTGTAACCTACAAAACTCTCAAAACTGATGGAGAAATAAGATATCTCCAAAAGAAAATTGTAATACAAGAGATTTTAGAAAATTAAACATATTTGCTTAAAAATTCCATCACATAAACCTTAACAAAAGGGGGTAGTTAGGATACTATATGTCCAGTAGTACCTGTGGCTGGCCACATCCTGCCTACCTGCCCCCTCCTTAATCAGCATCCATGTTGGAAATATTCTCTCCTCCACAAGGTGAGGTCATACCAGTGAGGCACAACTGTATAAGTGTCCTGGATGCCAGGCGTAAGAAGCCAAGCCCATTGCAGAGGCTAAGGCTTTGTTTCTAGGATGATAAGGGCCCTGCCTCTGGGCTCCATTCATGAGTGTTCAGCAACTTCTGGTGACAAACATGCCATTCACTGTCATGTATGTTGTCCTCTGTCCTCTGTCCTAAAGTGGGTATCTGTGTCTTCATTGATGGTAAAGGGACCCAAAAGAGATGGTTTGGACAGGAAGCCATTGGCCCCCAGGCAGGACAGGGAAGCATGCAGTAAGAAAAGGGATCTGGCATAGTCCACAGGGCAGCTCAGCCCTCTTGAAGGAAACCTGAACCCTTTTCATTTTTTCTTTTCTTTTGGAATAAGCTATAATAATTTTGTTAAAATCTGGTTGAAATAAACCTCATTACAGTGACAAAAGAAAGTGTTGACATTTTATACATTTTTTAAAAAGATATTTCCTTGACAAAGAACATTTGAGAAAATTTACAGTCATCAAAGGAGCATTCTAAAATGTTTCAAAGGATATTTTAGAAAGAGATAAAGACTACAACTGCATGAACCCCAACAGAAGGAGTCCACCAGGCTACACAAACAATTAAAATGGAAGAGAAAAAAAGTGGGGAGCAGGAAACAGGACAGTAGCAGGAAACAGAACAACAGGAAAATAACATGACAAGGATAAATTAGTATGTATCAGTTATAACCATTAATGTTAAGGGTCTCAATTTACCAATCAAAAGACACAGACTGGCAGAATGGATCAAGAAGCAATATCCAACAATATGCTCCATACAAGAAACATTAATTCAAAAAGGAATTCACAGACTAAAAGTCAAAGAATGAAAAACAATACTGCATGGGTCAGAAATTGAGAAAAAAGTAATGGTGGCTATTTTATTTGCAAAGTGAATTTTAAGAGAGGTTACTATAGTCTTGTAAAGAGACCAACTTCATTGCTCTAGAGATAACAGCCATAAATACATATGCAACAAATACCAATGAACCCAGCTGTATAAAACAAGTATTAAAGGACACGAAAAAAATCAAATAAGCCTTAATACAATTGTATTGGGTGACCTCAGTATTCCACTAACACAACTAGACAAAAGACAATGAAATATTAGAACTGAACCAAACTTTGAACAAATGGACTTAGTAGATGTCTACAGAGTATTCCACCAAACAACGTCAGACTACAAATTCTCAGCTGCACAGAGGACATACTCCAAAATAGAGCACATAATAGCTCATAGAACATGATTAAATAAATGCAAAAGAATTGATATACCTTTGCATTTACTTAAGCATGTTCTAGGCATTGTACTGTGCATAACATCAGATCAGAGTGCAATGAAATTGGAAATCTATGACAAACCACAAGAACTTCATAAACAGATGGAAATTAAATAGCACCCTCCTGAATGGCCAGTGGGTCACAGATGAAATTAAACAAGAAATTATTTTCTACCATTAAATGATAATGATCATACAACATAGTAGAATTCATGGGAAACAGTGAAAGCAGTCCTAAGAGGGAAATTTATAGCAGTGAATAACTGTATCAGGAAAACCGAACAAGCACACAAACAATTTAATGGTGAACCTCAAACTTCTAGAAAAAGAAGAGTAGGCTAAGCCAAAAGCTCATATGAGGGAGGAAATTGTAAAGAGCAGAGCAGAAATTAACATGTTGGAGACTTAAGAAAAAAATAAAAAGAGCCAAAGAATCGAGTTGATTCTTTGAAAGATTAAATAAAATCCTCATCCAGCCTTATCAAAAAAGGAAAGAAAAGACTCACATCCATGCAGTAAGTATTGAAAAGGGTGAAATCACCATGGACCCTGTAGAAATCCAGGTCATCTGTACCTACTTTGAAAACATTCTAATAAGATGGAAATTGCAGAAGATATGCACAGATTACCAAAGCTGAATCAAGAACATATAAAAATCCTAAATCAATATCAATGAAATTGAAGATTTAATTAAAAACCTACCAACAAAGAAAATCCCAGACCCTAATGAATTCACTGCTGAATTCAAAAAAAGTTTAGAGAGATGCTCGCTTTGGCAGCACATATACTAACATTGAAATGATACAGAGAAAATTAGTGTGGTCCCTGCACAAGGATAACACACAAATTCATGAAGTGTTCCATATTTTTAACAGTATGTATAGTGTATAAGATAGATGATCATATTACTAAATTTCTGTTAGATTGTTGAACAGAAGGGTTTATATTGTCATTGTTTGAGGGTCTAGCCACTTTTTGCTTTGATTTTGTAACAACTATTTTTAAGATGACATGTAATGTATCAGCTAGTGATTTTATGATGTTAATTTTTTGAATTCTGTATTCTACCTTTTTTTCTATTTTGTTTTCTTTAAATAAAATTTCAAGAAGAAAATTTAGGATCTAACACCACTACTTCTCAAACTCTTATAAAATTGAAAGGAAAATAATACTCCCAACTTCATTGCTAGAAGCAAGCATTACCCTGATACCAAAGCCTGAGAAGGACCCAGCTAAGAAAGAATTACAGGCCAATTTTCTTAATGAACATAGATGTAAAAATCCTCAATAAAATAGTGGCAAACAATGCGGCAAATCATCAAGAAGATTATATACCATTGCCAACTGGGATTTATCTCATGGATACAAGGATGGTTTAATGTATGCAAAGCCATAAATGTAATATACCCTATTAACAGAGCCCAGGACAAAAGTTATAGGATCATTTCAGTAGATGCAAAAAAAAGCTTTTGACAAAGTCCAGCACACATTCATGGTAAAAGCTCTGCAGGAAAATTGGAATAGATGGTCTGTATGACAATCTCATAAAAGCCGTCTATGACAGACGAACAGCCAACATCATATTAAATGGACAAAATTGAAAGCTCTTTCTCTAAAATCAGAAACAAGCCAGGGATTTAGCTCAGTGGCATAAGTTCTTGCCTGGCAAGCTCTAGGTCATGAGTTTGAGCCCCATTACAAAAAAAAAAAAAAAAAAAAAAAAAATCAGGAACAAGATGAGGATGTTCTCCTCGTTAGTATAGTGGTGAGAAAAAAAAAAAAAATGAGGATGTCCACTGTCTCCATTCTTATTCAACATAGTCCTAGAAAATTTGGTCAGAAAAATTAGTCAAGAAAAAAACAAACAAAAGGGAGCTGGGCGTGGTAGCTCATGCCTGTAATCCCAGCATTTGGGAGGCTGAGGTGGGAGAATTGTGATTTCCAGACCAGCCTGGGCTACAAAGTGAGCTCAAGGCCAGCCTGAACTGCATAGCGAGCCCCCATCTCCAAAAAAAAAAAAAAAAGAAAGAAAGAAAGAAATAAAAGGAATAACAATAGGAAAGGAAGAAGTAAATTACCATTTGTGGACAACATGGTACTCTACATAGAAAACCTCAAAAACTTCACCAAAAGACTGCTAGACTTAATAAGCAAATTTAGTAGTGTAGCTGGACAAAGTCAACACTCAATAGCCTTCCTATACATAAATTTAAAATATTCACTGAGAGAGAAATTAGGGAAACGCCTTTCACCATAACATCCAAAAAAAAAAGTAGGAATCTAATGAAGGATGCAAAAGACCTCTATACTAGAAACTATAAAACTCTGAAAAAGGAGATTGAAGAGAATATCAGAAAATCAAGATACCCTTTTCTTTTGGGTAGGAAGCCTCCATATAGTGAAAATGTCTTGGAAATGTCATTTCCAAAACTGTTATACAGATTTAATGAAATTCCAATAAAATTTCTAATAGCATATCTCACAGAATAAAATGAATTTGGAACCAGAAGCAAAGGCAGTTCTGTGCCACAAAGACAAGGCAGGGGTATCACAATCCCTGACTTGAAATTATATGACGAAGCTACTGTGATAAAAACAGCATGGTACTGGGAAAAAGAAAACTAGACCTAAAGCTCAATGGAACAGATTAGAAAATGCAGAAACAACTCCAGTCATATTAAGCCACCTTATCTTTGACAAAGGTGCCAATCACATTCACTAGAACAAAGACAGCCTCTAATAATTGGTGCTGGAAAAACTGACTCTGCATATGCCAGAGATTAAAATTGGTCCCATATCTTTCATCATGCACTGAACTAAATTTGGGTGCATTAAAGATCTGAATATTAAACATTCAATCTGCTGGAAGATAGAATAGGTAAAACTCTTGAAGACATTGGTATAGGCAAAATCTTTATGAATAAAACTCCAGTTGCACAAGTACTATCACAAAGAATCAACAACTGTGATATCATCTTATTAAAAAGTTTTTGTACAGCAAGAGAAACCAGCAACAAAATGAACAGATAACCCACAATGTGGGAATAAATGTTTGCCAGCTGTTCCTCAGACAAAGGATTACTATCAAAAACATACAAAGAATTCAAAAAAGTCAGACCTTCCAAAATAAAGACCCAATAAAAAATGGGTGTCTGAGATGAATACTTTTTTTTTTTTGTCTTTTTCCTTTTTATCGGTACCGGGGATCGAATCATGACTGCCTGCTTCCAAGGCAGGCGCTTATGCCGCTGAGCTAAACCTCCAGCCCCGATGAATACATTTTTCAGATGAAGAAATACAAATAGCAAATAATTATATGAAGAAATGTTCAACATCACTGGTCTTTTGAGAGCTGCAAAGTAAAACATTCTATCTCACTATAGAAACAATAGCTCTCATCAAGAAATCAAGCAATAACATGCCTACGTGACTATGGGGAAAAGAACACTTCTCCATTGTTGGTGGGAATATAGACTTGTGCAACCACCTTGGAAATCAGTGCGGCGATGTCAGTGACCACCAATTTACAATTGCTAATTTTGCATACTTCCCTATGGGATGAAATGAAAGTTTGGGATTATCAATATATCCTATTTGAGATTTCCCATCCACTTTTTACCATATGATCATCTATGACCTCTTGTGTCATCTCAGGATTATACTCCAGGACAAGATCCTTAACATAAGATCATTGAGGCCCGCTTAAATATAAGTCTTCTGCCAGTTGTAATCCCTTGTTAGCCCCACCCATTACTGTATACACCTAATAAATAGTGGCTGGCTGGGGAGTGGAAGGGGACCCATCTGGAGACATTGACTTCCGAGCCATTGATGTAATACTATACTTGTCTCTTATTTTTCTCACTGTACTCTTTAAGACAGACAATTGGGAAAGAAAGAAAGAAAGAAAAAAAAAACCAGACAATAGGGATTCTTGGCCAGGCTCCCAATATGGAGATTACTCAGAAAACTTGGTTTAGAGGTCCCATTTGACTCACCTATTCCCCTTATCTTCCAGAAGAGTATCTTCCTGAAGAATTAGTAACATCACACCACAGTGATATATGTGCAACCACGTTAATAGCCACACAATTTGTAATCGCTACATTTAGGAAACAACCTAAATGCCCATCAACTGAGAAATGGGTAAAAAAGATGTGACTTTTTATACAATAAAATATTATTAAGCTATAAAGAATAAATTGAAGACTTTTATAAATAAATGGATCTAACTCAAGACCATACTCATAAGTAAATAACCAGATGTAGATGTGCAAACATAATTGTCTCCCTAGTATGAGAAGCTGAAAGAGTAAATAAGATCCAAAATGTAAAATAGATATTGTGAAATGGGGAGAAACTGTTCAAAGGGAGAGAAAAACTGGGATGAGGAAGAAGGGAGAAGGAAAAGAAAAAAAATATATAAATGTTGATAGTTAAGATAGTTTTTATTTTCATAAATTAACCCATTTATGACACGCTTGGAATGTCTCAAATAGAGGTTCTACTGGTCTTTCAATACTTTTAGTGTTAGACTGATGGCTGACTTGACTGTTGCCATGTAAGTAGTATTGTAGGTTCAGACACCACCAGCCCACTGTTCTCATGCAGGAACCACAGTGCCAGATCCCTACAGCTGGTCTTTTCATCTTCATCTTGCCCTAGAAGGAGAGGTGCTGGCTGTTTCAATTTTCTTCACCATTTTCTGGAGTGAGGCACCACAGTGTGTACAATATTTACCAACAGTGCTGACCATGTTGGTGCGTTGTCATGCTGATGCAGGAGTCCAGCAGAGCAAGTCCAGAGAGCAGTTAAGACAGTTACATTACTAATTTCTCTTAGTTCATTGAAAAGAAAGGTTTATTGTCTGGACAGTGAAGTGCCCATATCTTATACTCTGAGTAACTAACTTGAAAATAACAGTACACAATGTATTAAGCATTGTTATCCTCCCGTTACCTTGTTTTGAAGGGTTTTTTTTTTTTTTTTTTCTCTCTTTTTAAAATAAAATCCACAGGGTATAAAGACAAACAAAAAAACCTGAGTCTGGCTATGTAGTACAAGGTGGCCTTGAACTTGATATATAACCTTACAATTTAAGATCATCTTGCCTTAGCCTCCCTAATATTGGGATTACAGGTATGTGCCATCACATCCAGCTATACTGTATATTTTTCATGAATATGTAAGAAAAACACTATTGGCGCTGGGGATTTAGCTCAGCGGCATAAGCCCCTGCCTTGCAAGCAGGCAGTCGTGAGTTCGATCCCTGGTACCGATAAAAATGAAAAAGACAAAAAAAAAAAGAAAATCTCTATTTCCTTAGCTTTTTGTTCTGCTTTAATCAACACGTAAATTTTGTTAGTTTCAGACAAATTGCATGTTATTTCCTAGGAGAAGTGACAACCTAGCCATGTTTTAGTAAATGGTTTAATGTGAATTTTTTTAAATAAAACTTTTTTTTCTCTTTAGGAAGTGAAAGTACTTAGTATTGATCAAAGAAATTTCAAATTACGTTCAATTGGGTAAGTTAAAACTCTTCAAATAGCAAAACAGATTTTAAAGTTGTATTCCTCGCTGAACTCCATGTAGAAAGACAGTTAACATTTCTGAAGTCAGAGGATTGTTTGCATTTGGCTGGGCCTTACAGATTGAGCTTTATGAGATGCCAAGGTATGAGGATCACTTGAGCTTTGGAGGACCCAACGCTAGTCAGAATAAGATTGACTCTGGTTGTTAAACCCAATTCTTGCAGGTCGTGGTGGTGCAGGTCTGTTAACCTAGCACTCTGGGAGGCTGAGGCCATAGGATCGAAAGTTCCAGTGCTGGGCCATTTAATGACTTAGCAAGATACAGTCTCAAATAGGAATAAAAATATGCCTGGGGCTATAGCTCAGTAAGAGTTCTTGGTTCCATCTCCAGCACTAATCCACACACAGACACACACAACCTGCTTCCCAATTTGTTGATTTTAAGAAGGAAGACAAAGAAATACAGCTATGTAACTGCTAAATGGCATAGCATAGAGCCAAGTTTTATAGGAAAAACCGATCGAACTCACGACTGCCTGTTTGCAAGGCAGGTGCTTATGCCGCTGAGCTAAATCCCCAGCCCCAAAGGTAATTCTTTTTTTTTTTTTTGTCTTTTTTTTTTTTTTCATTTTTATCGGTACCAGGAATCGAACTCACGACCGCCTGCTTGCAAGGCAGGTGCTTATGCCGCTGAGCTAAATCCCCAGCCCCGTAATTCTTTCTGTATAAATTATGCCTTTCTTTTCCTTCCAGAGTTAAAAATACCGATTAGGTCACTTTGACTAAACTTGTTTCTTTAACCACTTAATTAAATATTTTAGGTTTTATTTATTTACTTATTTATTAGTTGTTTTGTTTTTGTTTGTGGTCTGGGAATCCAACTCAGGACTTTGCCTTTGCCAGGCATGCACTGTGCCACGAAGCTATATCCCTGGCCCTATTTATTAGGGTTTTTTTAGACAAGGTTCTCATTATGCAGTTGCTTTGAACTATGTAGCCCCGGCTGGCTTTCCTACTTGCAGTGGCCTTCCTGCGTCAGCCTCCTGAATTCTAGGCTTATAGGCATTGGGTCACCATACCAGGCTTTTTTTTTTTTCCCTTGAAAACTTAATTAGGTAAAGAAAATAGACTTTTGTAGAGGTGCTTAGCTAAGAGTGATTGAACAAAATTGGAATTTTTTTTTCTGCTGTACTGGGGACTGAACCTAGGGCCTTTGTGCTTTTGTGCTGAGCTACTGCTAAGAACTTTTTTTGTTTTTGTTTTTTTAAAGATAGCATCTCACTAGGTTACTAAATTGCCCAGGCTGAGCTAGAACTTGTGGCCCCTCTGCTCTTTCTACTATTACATGCTTTGATGGTTATTTGGCACATTAGTTTCAAAGAGAGAGAAAAAAACATTCTCCCTAGAAAAAGACAGGTTCCAGGGCTTTCTTTATATAGGTTGTGGACATTTGGGAAAAACGTACAGACCAAGCTCAAACCATGTTGGCAGAATATAGTATTTTATGTTTGTGCTACACAACCTGCTTTCTTCTTGGGAGATCTTACTAAATTGGTTCTGTAACTTTGAGCACAGTAAATAGTTTAAACCTGGTCCTCTATTATGAAATCGTACTGATTCAGCAGTGTTTACTGAGCAGCTCATTGTGTGGGCACTTGTTCTTGAAGGAGCAACTGTCCACATGCCTGGGGATTTAGCTCAGCGGCATAAGCACCTGCCTGGCAAGCTCATGGAGTTCGATCCCTGGTGCCAAAAAAAACCTGTCCACCTTGGGAGAAACTGATGTCCACTGAACCTAAGTACCTTCCATACCAGTATCTGCTAAACAACAGAAGTGCGATTTCATTGTCCTGTGCTTCCCATCTCTCCAGCTTTTTAATATCTGAAACACATTTCTAAGGCTGTTTTAAGATATATCCCCAGTACCACACACAAAGTATAATATTAAGTATATCAGACAGACAACCTTAGATATCATATCCAGGCTGGGCATGGTGGCAGACACCTGTAACCCCAGCCCTCTGGGGGCTGAAGTAGAAGGGTCGTTGGAAGTTCAGTACCAGCGTGGACTCCAAAGTGAGTGCAAGGCCAGCCTGAACTGCATAGGGAGACCCTGTCTCAAAAAGACAGTAAGTCAATAAGAGCAACTATAACATTATAGACATATTAATCTTTTTTTTTTTTCTTATCAAGGTGGGGAGAAGAATTTTCACTTTCTAAGCATCCTCAGGTATGTTTTAAAGTCTAACCCTTGAAAACACTTTATGCTTCCTCATGGTAGAGTGTGTGTATTTGACAGTACACTTCAATTAGTTCTGATAATTAGTGTGAAGTGATGTTTTTCTTAAATTTCTCTGACTTACCTGGATGCAATAAAGTGCTGTGATTTCAAGTTTAATTTGGTGAGTAGGAATCAGCATTGGACTCTAGAGCCAGGGATGTTACAGATTATTGTGCATTGAAAAATATCCTTTTGCCTTGGCTGGGCATGGTGGTGCCCTCTTGTAATCCTAGCACTCAGGAGGCCAAGACAGGAGAATCATTTGCAAGTTCAAGACTACCCTGGGCTACAATGTGAGACCTTGGCCAGCCTGAACTGCATAGAGAGACCATCTGAAAAAGAGAGAAACAAAACAAAAAAATACCTTTGCCTTTTTGAGTCTTGGTTTCTTCTACAGTGAAGATGTAGGACTAGACATTTCTCTGAAATACTCTCTGCCTCCAGTACTTTTCTGGATCCTGTATGTGCCAACCTGTATGGCCTTCTGTAATAACTAAATCTGTAGGAACAAGGGTTGGCAAAGTTTTTCTGTAAAAAACCAAATAGTTGTAAGATTGTGTCCAAGAGCATTGGAAGACCAATTACTTCATCAGCCATAGGTAATACATAGATTAGTGGTTGTGTTTTCCTAGAGCACTATTCATGGACGCTGAAGTTTGAATTTTATAACATTTTCAACTGTCACAATTCATTTTGTTTTTTCTGAGACAGAGTTTTGCTATGTAGGTGACACTGGAGATCCTCCTGAGTGCTGGAATTACAGGCATGCAGTGTCTTGCCTGTCTCCCAATACAAATAATCTTATTTTTCCAGTACTAGGGATTGAACTCAGGGTTATTGCATTGAGCTACATTCCCAATCCTTTTATATTTTGAGATATAGTCTTGCTAAATTGTTGTCTAGGCTGGGTGCCTAGACACCCATGAGCCTCCTTGCACAGCTTCCCAGAGTGCTGGGATTACAGGTGTGCAACACTATTCCCTGCTACTCCTTTTATCCAGGCTGGTCTCAAATTGACAGCAATTCCCCTGCTTCAGAATCCCAACTGCTGGAATTACAGGTATGCACCAACATGCCTGGCTGCTTCTTAGTTTTTGAATAAATGATCAAGTAAAACAAAAATCTGGTACTTGTAATATTTCCTGGTTTAAAAATATCTTTCTGGCTTTGATGTTGTCCTTATCTTCTCTCCACTAATCTGTATCCCATTCATTCATTACTTCATACATACATTCAGTAAATACTTTGCTAGACATTATTGTAGGTATGTTAGGTAAAGGTAACAGGACAAATTAAGATCATTGCCCTCATTGAACTTAAAAGTTTAGTGAGAAGAGAGCCAAACATGTAAACAAGTAAAGGTTATAATTTTAGTTCATAAATAATATAGTAGTGCCATTAGGGCAAGATAAGAATTGTTGGATCTGGGTACACCTGTCATTCCAGAGCTATGGGACAGGCTAATGTAGGAGGACTGCAAGTTCAAACCCAGCCTGGGCAAATTACTGAGACTCTGTATCAAAAAGCAGAGTGTGTGTATGTGGAGAAGGGGCAAGTTGTTGCTGGGGATCTAGCTCACTGGGAATGTGCTGGGTTCAGTCCCCAGTACTGCAAAAATGAATGAATGAAATAAAAATTGGGATTGGGAAAGGGTGGTTAGAAAAGACATGCCTGTGAACTGGGTGTGGTAGCACACATCTGTCTGTAATCCCAGCATTTGAGTGGCTGAGGCAGGAGGATTGCCACAAGTTTGAGGCCAGCCTGGTACATAGTTGAGTTTAGGGCCAGTTTCTACATAGCAAGACCCTGTCTAAAAAAAAAAAAGTCAAAGACAAACAAAAAAAGACATATTTGCAGAAGTGACTATTGAGTGCATCAAGGACAGTGCGGCTAGAGCTGAGGTTGCAGGGGAGAATAGTGGAACCAGCTGTGCAGATGGAGCTGCAGCCTGCTATGGCAGAGCATAGTTTTCTTAGCTTGTGAGGGGAGGCCAGAGCAGCATTTTAATCATAGGAGCTATTTATCATCCACTTTTTTTTTGGGGGGGAAGGGGGATTGAACTCAAAACCTTGTGCTTGCCAGGCAGGTGCTGTGTTGCTGAGCTATATCTCTGGTCCCTTGTAGGAGCTATTTGAGGTGATTGTTTTGTTTTCTTTCTTTTTTTTTAAAAAAGAGGATAAAACCCACCAAAATAAACCAGTATAAGTGATACAGGACTTCAAATCCTTACAAAATCAAAATAGTTACCATAATGCCTTTGGTTGGCTTCAAAATGGCTGCAGATACCGTCAGACATAATAAAAATTGAACAGAAACAATAAAAACAAAACAGTGAGTGCCATAAAAGACTTCAAAACAAGGCAATAGTAAACCCAAAATGGCTACCATAATATGTCTTGCTGTCTTTTAAATAGCTGCTGATGCCATCAGATTTAACATGATCAGACAAAACAAGATAATAAAACCCATTGCAACAAAACAATGACAATGATATAGCTTCCAAGTGGGAATCACTGCTTGGTGAGGTCTGGTTCTCTCCCTCTGCAGTCTGCAATGGCGCTGACTTACAGAGTAAGGCTTGGGTCTGGCTGTCCCCACTGGCAGTGCCCCATGCTTGGCACTGGTTTCTCAGGGATCACCGCCTTGTGAGGCCTAGTCCCTTCTCCCCACCACAGTCTGTGAATGGCTCTGTCTCATAGAGAGGCTTGGATCTCTTGTTTTCTTTTTTTGGTAGAGGGTTTTGCTACATAGCCCAAGCTATCCTGGGACTACTGATCCTCCTGGCTCAGCCTCCCAAGTGCTGGAATTATGGTAGGCTTGATTTAAGTTCTTAAATGACAACGAATAAGTCATAAAGTGGTGAGAATGGAAGCAATAAAACCATTTTAGGCAGTTTTTACCACAAAGCAGTTGGCCAGGCATGTTTGTAATCACATCTCACCTATAATCCTTGTACTTGAGAGGGTGAGCAGGAACATCATTGCTGAGAGCTTTCCTGCTGGGGTGAAATCAAAGCCTGGTTAAGAGTTTTGTCTCCTAACTAGTTCAGCATTCTTTCTTCTTTATAGAAGCTGGTTCCATTTTTATGAGATCTGCATATAGTACTGGATTAATTTGATAATTGATTCATGTGGGTTTCTAGTTTTTCCAGTAATTGTAATTTCTTATTTCTGCTAGTTTTTGCTAAAGTTAATGATTCTTATTCTAATGTCTTCCTATGTGTTTTTTCTCTAACCCTAACTTTAGGGAACAGAAGTCAAAGCAATAACATATTCAGCAATGCAAGTCTATAATGAAGAAAAACCAGAAGTTTTTGTGATCATTGACATTTAAAGGCCGAGAATATAAAGCTCAGTGGCACAGCACCTGCTTGGCAAGTGTGAGGTCATAAGTTCGATTTTGGTACCCAAAAGAAAGAAGAGACTTTGATGAAGACCTGTTTTTATTTTTCCTCTTGAAAAGGTATAATTTCATTTCTCTAATATCTTTTGACAAGTGGAAATTTACAGAACAGAAATTTTTAACTTAAAGCGTGACTTTCACAAGTAGAAAATCAGCTAGGCATGGTGGCAAATGCCTGTAATCCCAGCTACTCTGAGGACTGAGGAGAGAGTATCAAAAGTTTGAGGCAACCTTGGCAACTTAGCAAGACCTTGTCTCAAAATAAAAAATCAAAAGATCGCCGGCTGGACATGGTGGAGCACCCCTGTAATCCCAGCATTTGGAGACTGAATTACAGGCTGACCGGAACTACATAGCAAGACTGTCTCAACATAAATAAAGTAAAATAAAATAGCCTCTGTGATACAGTATCCCTGGGTTCTAACCACAATAGTGGGGAAGAAAAAAAATAAATGGAAAATCAGAGGATTAGCCTTCGTCTGTGTTCCTTAGGTATTCACGTTGTGGCCCCTCCTTAGCTCCGTGCTTTGGCAAGCAGGTGCCTCAAGTCCTTCCAGTGCAATGCAGACCCTCCCTCTAGCTGGTCCCAGGAGAGAGCACTGGTATAGGCAGCAGTTGGGAAGTTTCCGGAATCCAGTTTGAAAACCAAAGAATAAATTGAGAAAATACATTTCTATAGTTAGAATTTTACTTTTCTTCCAAAGTGACTAAGACATATTTTCTGTATGTAAAGTGAAATTCTGCTTTAGATTGCTGTGTGGCACAGCTATCTTATATTCCAATTGCTTTTCTTTTCTTTTGGTACCAGGGATCATACCCACAGCCTCGCACTTGCAAGGCAGGTACTTATGATGCTGAGCTAAACCCCCAGCCCCCAATTGTTTTTCTTCCTTGTGCTACTGGCTAGTTGGTTTTCTTAGGACTTATTAGAAGACTTCTCTAGGAAAGATCTTTGTTTTCTCGGGTGTGTGTGCGTGCGTGTGTGTGTGTGTGTGGCTAGTTGGTTTTCTTAGGACTTATTAGAAGACTTCTCTAGGAAAGATCTTTGTTTTCTCGTGTGTGTGTGTGTGTGTGTGTGTGTGTGTGTGTGTGTGTCCATGCAGTTCAGGCTGGCTTTGGGCTCACTTTGTAAACTACGTTGGTCTTGACTCACAATGAGCCTTCTGCCTCAGCCTCCCAAGTGCTGGGATTACAGAGTACACCATCACACTTGGCTTTCTCTTACTTTTTTGATTAATGATGATGACACATTCCTGTTGATACAACACCTTAGAAGTGGAGCCTTCTAGTCTTTTTTTTTTCCCCCTTTTTCTTTCTTTTTTCAGTGCGAGAGCTCAAAACCAGGGCCTCACATCCTAGGCAAGTACTCTAGTATCGAACTCCAGCCCCTAAATATTTCAAAACTTTTTTTTTTTTTCTGGTACTGGGGATCCAACTCAGGACCTGTGCTTGCAAGGCAGGCTCTTATGCTGCTGAGGCAAATTCCCAGCCCACTATCCAAACTTTTTAAAGTAAGTGACAGTGAAACTGCTTTAGGTTTGATTTGCAGCTTTAGTTTTTTTTTTTTTGTCTTTTGTCTTTTTTGAAACAGGATCTCGCTGTGCAGTTCAGGCTGGCCTTGAGCTCACTTTGTAGCCCAGGGTGGTCTCAAACTCGCAATGATCCTCCCATCTCAGCCTCCTGAGTACTGGGATTACAGGCGTGAGCCACCACGCCTGGCTGCAGTTTGAGTCTTGATCGAGGTATTCTTTCCTGTGATCAAAAAGTTTACAAAATTGGGATTTATTCTTTTTTTTTTTTTTTTTTTTTGGTGTTGGAGATTGAACTCTCAACCTCATGCGTGCCAGGCAGGCACTTAAGCCACTGAACTAAATCCCCACCCCTATTCACAGGGCTCTTAAGACAGCCACTGAGTGGTGCCACATATTGTAGTTTGCTGAATTTGAACTAGGTAAAAGGAAGGGATTAACTATGTGCTTTCTAAGTGTTGTCTGAACATGGTATTTTTCTTAGGATCTCACCATGCAGTTCAGATTGCACTTGAACTCACCTTGTAGACCAGGCTGACCTTGAACTCAAGAGATTCTTATGCCTCAGCCTCCTGAGTGCTGGAATTATAGGAATATGCCACCATGCCTGGCCAACAATTACAATTTTAAAGTTCTATTTTGCCATGCAGGTTACATTTCCTTTCCCGGAAGCTGAGAAGAGTAGGTTACCTGAAGTTCATAGTGATTTTTGAAAGTGTAGTTCATAAAAATGACTAGGACTTTCCCATTGTCTCTGATAATTACTCTTAACAGGACAAATGCTAATTTATTTAGTAAAATGTGGAGGGCCATCTGGACAACTCTCCTTGAATAAAGAGCAGTCATTTCCATTTTGGTTAAACTTAGCCTTATCTCCTTTGTAGTCTTCTGTTGGTTTTAAGCAATATAAATAGGGCTAACTGAGGTGCGGAGGCATAATCTTAGAAGCTAAGCAACAGGCACTGTTTCCCAACCTGTGACTCCCAAAAAACATGGGTGAGCCAGGCAAGATGAAGAGCCATTGCTCCAGGGCTGTCAGCTGGGATGAGCCTCAAGGTAAGAGGCTGTGACTTCCCAGGGCAGAAAAGTCTGCACATCAGAGCCGAATCACCAGCCCCCAGAACGTTAAATGCTACCTCAATTGTATTATGCAGATTGGTCTTTCTGTACATCTTTCTCTACATGTTACAGAAAAAATATCTATATATCTCTGAGTATGTAAGACAAAATTTGTAATTTTGTAATTATACTTGGAGTTCTACCACTTACTGCTCTTTGAACATGTTGCTTAACCTCTCTGTGCTTTGAGGCATCCTGCGTAGCCCAGCTCACAGTACTCATGTATTTTCCTCCGTTTTCAGTCACTCATCCTCAAACCACTCTCTTCACAAATTAATAAAATCTGGGTTGGACCCGGGCTTGAGGCCTTTGTCCCAACGAGCCTTTATCCTGGCTGGAGTTGGGATCCCTTGACTCCCCATAACTATAAATATGTCTTGGTGTCTTTATTCTCGCCGTGGGTTGTATTGGAAGTGGTAGATTGAAATTAACTTATTGAAGTTCTGATAAGTTTTCCATGGGACTACACATGTAAGCTTTCAGAACAGTGGTGAGATCTAGGAAGGCTTTTCTATAGCAAGATAGTTTGGTTGTGAAGTTATCCAGACTCCTAGAACAAGAAAGTAGAACAGTGAATTTCTGCTATTGCTCTCCACTACCAAAAAATTTAAAAATCATGTTTATTTTTAAAATTCGCCTAAGTAAAAATATTAAGGACATGGTAATCATGGTTTCAAATTTTGATGCAGTTGCTAAATAGTTGTATGATTGGGAAAAGTATATGTCTTTTAAAATCCAGGGCTTCTCAAGTGCTGGGCAAGTACTCTACCATTGTTACATCCCCAGCCCATAACTGACATGTTAACGTGTCTGAGCCTATTTCTTCATCTCTAAAATGGGAACAATTCACAGACCAAGTATCCCCAGCACTGCCAGAGCAGTGAGAATATTATTTTGGCTGGGTGTGGTAGCTCATGCCTATAATCTCAGCACTCTAGAACCCAAAGCAGAAAAAAAATCACAAATTTGAGTCCAGCCTACATAACTTAGTGATTTTATCAGTCACTTTCTCTTGACAATGCTTGACAATGACAGTTTAAAGGAGGAAAATTTTATATTGGCTCACAGTTTCAATAAGTTCAAGGTTAAAAAAAAAAAAAAGGCATGGCAGAAGAAAACTCACTGTGTGTTAGCAGGAAGCAGAGCTAGGGGAGGAGCTGAGAAGCCAGGCTCAAGAACACCCTTTAGGTCACAGCCCCAGTGACTCATCTTTTGTGACCAAGTTGCATCTCCAGACAGCACACTATGAATTCATTAATGGACAGATCCATAGTTGAGTATGATGCTCCTATGATCCAGTCAACCTCTATAAGCTTCTGACAAGAATTTGGATAGCTGAGGTCTGAAATGTAAAGCAATTTAATGACACTCTTACCTCAAAGAGTGAAAAAAGGAGCTGATGATACAGTTCAGTGTGAAGACTTGGCTAATTCTCCAGAACTGCAAGTAAATAAGTAGAATATAAAAATTATCTGGGCAGGGGGCTGGGGATTTAGCTCAGCGGCATAAAGCGCCTGCCTTGCAAGCAGGCAGTCGTGAGTTCGATCCCTGGTACCGATAAAAAACGAAAAAAACAAAACAAAAATTATGTGGGCATGGTGGCACATGTCTGTAATCCTAGCACTTGGAGAGGCTGAGGCAGGGGAACCCCTATAACCTGGGCTATATAATGACTTCAAGGCCAGCCTGAACTACATGGCAAATCCTTATCTCAAAAATAAAGCCACATGTTGTATGTTGTAATCTCAGCGTTTGAGAGGCTGAGGCCCAGGAGGATCACTATGAGTTTGAACCGAGCTTGGACTGCATAAGAAGACCCTGTCTCAAAAAAAAAAAAAAAATGTATAAGACAAAATTTATAATTTTGTAACTATACTTGGAGTCAGGAAATTTAAACACTTGATTGAAGCAGGGGATTAGAGCATGGCAAAATGGCTGAACAAATGGGCATGACCTGTCTCTCAGGAGATTTTGGATGTACAGTACAGCTTCTAAGTCCTGTACCTCAACGTATTCAGAGAATACTATCTTTAGTTTTTCTGGCACAAGATCAAGCAGGTTTGGGAAGGGACCAACTATATCTGATGTCAGAAGGAGGTGTATAAGATGGTAGCCATTGGCATTGGGGTGCTGCCTGTTTTTTTTCTCAGTGACCCACTCTGCCTGCAGACAGTATAAGTAAAGAGAAAGCAGTACTTTAATTGGCTCACATTGCAGAGCATTTCTTATCTTTATACCTTTAATACATGTTAAACCTTGCTACCTTATTTCCTGTCCATTTCTTTGTTCAGGACAAGAGTCTGGAAAGGGGCCCCTGGCGAGAGTCCACAGCATCCCAGTACCCCATTAATACTATGGTGCTGTGCTGGGGGTGTAACTTAGAGCCTAGCTGCATGAGGCCTTAGTTGAATCCCCAGAACTACAAACAACAACACATTCCATCAAGAAAGAAACAACGTTATTTTGAGGATCTGGGGCACAGTAGTAGTTAATAACACAAACTATAGCCGGTTTACTGGGGTTTGAATGTTGGTTCTGCCACTTACTGCTCTTTGAACATGTTATTTAACCTCTCTGTTCCTTCATTTCCTTGTCTTAAGTGGCCGTGGTGATAGCTCTTGTGGGCTTGTTAGTTAAGCAGTGTATAAACAAAACCTATATAAGTGTCTGGCACATGGTGAATGCTATTCAGTAAGAGGTAGGTATCAGGACAAGTGTACATAAACCACCTCCCTATGCCTCTCCTTGATTCTAAAAAAAGATCCACAGTGTTTAGTAAAGAGGCCGTGACCAGTGCAGACACAACCCTGGAAGCCT